GTCTTTTATGTGTAACAGAGTAATTGTACACAGTAGTATAAATACTTTTCTCCGCCTGCAGCTGAACTTTGAATGAAGGACTTCTTCGTGTACCCGGGTATTTGTACACAGTAGTATAAGTACTTGTTCTCACCGTGTCTGGGCAGAGGGCAGCCCTGCAGCACGGCCTTGTTGACGAGGATGCTGAGAGCCGCCTTCACCACGGCCTGTTGCCCGGCGCTGAGACCAGTGTTGCTAAGAGACGGTCTCTGCGACGACGTTGAGGAAGTAGAGGTGGTTGTCGAGGAGCGTCTGGCCGTTACCCGGGCGATAACAGCTTCCTCCACGCGGGGGACGACCACGGCGTTCCAGAGCCGGGACAGCCACCTGAACACACACAGATATATAAAAGTCATTAAAAAGGTCACAAAAAAGTTTAAGTATGGTTTATAAATAATGTGGAAATATATATAAAATGTACAAAAATAAATAGATATAATCATATAATATTTTTGTATTTAAATAGTTTGTATGTCAACATAAGAATAGCTGTTAATCATTTTATTAGTCATAATATAGTATGTTAAAAATGTCATAGTGTGTTTAAAAAAGATAATAAATGTACACTATGCAATAAAACTATCTAAGATAATAAGATGTCATAGTTTGTATAAAGATGTCGTTATAATATGTCATATGTCAAAATATAAAGATAATTAAAATGTATCATTTGCTATAATATAAAGTTTAATTTGCCGCAAAAAATCATCAAGAAGTCATGGTATAATCTGTAAAAAAAACATTGAAAAAGATGCTTATTATGCCAAAAAATACTTGAAAACATTTTAATTATGCCATAAAAAAACATTTACTAAGTTTAGTTTGTGATTGAGAAAACTCATAACATGTCTCTGGATCTTACAATAAACAAAAAATATCTTAAAGTATGAACTGGTAGCCAACTATAACAACTTTAAGAAAATAGGAATGGGTCGGGACAGGAGTATTGCTGTGAGAGGAGTGACATGTTCAATCTGTACTGATTGTGTTTTACAGGATGCATCAGAAACTCACCTGATGACGGCCTGTGTGTTACCGGGCAGAACAGGACAGGACAGGAAGAGCTGGGGGCCAATCAGAGCCTCGGGGGTCCCGAGACGAGACAGACAGGCGTTCAGCTGCTGCCACACGTTCCTCACCCACAATACAGAGCTCTGAAGGGGGGAGGAGGGGGAGGAGAGACAGGACCCCGTCTATAGGGGGGAGGAGAGGAGAGGTTTTTAAAATCCCTTTTACTAAACTATTGCACTTTCAGCATACCATTTTCACCTCATCACTTGAGGGAAGAAAACACACAGCAAATAAACAATCATGACATGAGGAGAGAGGAGAGAGGAGAGAGGACAGGAGAGGAGAGAGGAGAGAGGAGAGAGGAGAGAGGAGAGGACAGGAGAGGAGAGGAGAGAGGAGTGAGGAGAGGAGAGAGGAGAGGAGAGGAGAGAGGAGAGGATGTATCTGTTCTGCTGATAAAACAACACTAAACTCCTGTCACTGTTTACTAACAATGAAAACTCAACAGCAGGGAACATCTGTCCTCTGCATCTGGATCTCCCCCCCCTCACCTTGTGGATCAGCTTCCTGCGGAGGTGTCTTCCCAGCATGCCTTGCAGCGGCTCCTGGTCCCAGCGCAGCGTCACCCAGCGGAAATGCTGCTGCAGCCTCAGCTCGGGGCCCTGGAGGCGGGGCCTAGACAGCGTGCCAATCAGGAAGCTGCTCTCAGAGAAGTGGTGCGGACCTGGGGGGGGGGGATGGGGGGGGGGGTATTACCACCTGGTCATTATCCTTTATGCTCTATAACTCACCCCTTTTTCCCATCTTTCATCAAACTCTCAGCTATTTTCTCCATTTCTTACATTTAATTTACTAGATTCTTCCATTTTGAGTTGATTAACATACATTTTTGATTATCTGGTTTTATAAGATGACATTTAGATGCAATATAACCTAAAGTCACATCCGTTAGAAAAGGGCGTTATACCGTCAACAAACCGTCAACATACGATAATGTGCAGGTGCAAGTACGAGTGAAATGATACCTGCAGTCGAACCTGTATTAATCTGTATATTAGATATTAGCAGCAGTGTATTAATCTGTATATGTGATATTAGCAGCAGTGTATTAATCTGTATATGTGATATTAACAGCAGTAGTAACTGTATTAATGTGTATATGTGATATTAACAGCAGTAGTAACTGTATTAATGTGTATTATGATGTACCTGTATTCATCTGTATACTATATATTAGTAGTAATACCTGTACTCAGATGTAGCGGTGCCCCAGACCCCCGGCTGTCTAGGCTGAGGCAGAGATCTCCCATCAGGCCGCTGAGAGACGAGGCTCTCTCCAGACCCTCGAGCAGCACCAACACACAGCGAGAGCCAGACCCCCCCGCAGGCACCAGGAAACCTGCAAAGGAGGAGAGGAGGTGTTATAATCAGGAGCCGATGAGATGATGGTGTAGGGCCAACTTTCATATTTAATATATCATATTTTACATGTGTTGTGACGTTTTCAGTGACTTTGAGACTGATTAGTAAACTTATATATGTGTGTGTGTGTGTGTGTATGGTGTTTGGTGTGTGTGAGTGTTTGTGTGTGAGTGTGAGTGGTGTTTGGTGTGTGGGAGTTTGCGAGTGGTTGTGTGAGTGTGTGAGTATGTGTGTGTGTGCGTGTTTGTGAATGAGTGTGTGTGAGTGTGTGTGTGTGTCAGTGTGAGTCTGGTGCGAGTGTGTAAGTTTGAGTGTGTGTGTGTTTGTCTGTCTGTCTGTGTGTGAGTGTGTGTGAGTGTGTGTGTGTAAGTGTGTGTGTGTGTGTGCGTGTGTGTGTGTCTGTCTGTGTGTGTGTGTTTACCACAGCTGATGAAGGTCTCCAGCAGCTGCTCTTTGGTCAGACTCTCGTCGACCTCCACCCTCACCACGTCACAGCCGAGCCCCCCCACATCCTGCTTTGACTGGAGGAGAGAGAGAGAGAGAGGAGGAAGAGGAGGAAGAAGAAGAGGGGTGAGACGGGAGCACGTTGTCATGGAAACAAAGGAGGTCTACTACTACTACTATTACTACAGTTGTGCAGCGGGAGGAGAATGTGAATGAGAGGAAGCTGCTAGATCTCCTCTATTTCTGTCTAAATGCTGAAATATATCAGTAGAATACAAACATATACAATTATAGGTTATTAGTAAAACATTCATACTAATTAATTAATAAAAAATCAATTAACAGGTTGAGTCCCTTAGCTGGCTTCTTTGTACTAACTACATCGTATTCCTATAACAGATCCTACTCCCTTCTCTTACCTCCTTCATACTGCTTAAAAAAACCATTGTTAGATTATTATATAGAATATCAATTAAACAAAAGACAGTTAATCCCTCTGAGTGATGGCCACAATACCAGATAATAACTTTAATTTATTTATTTATTTGACCGTCGTGAAACATGCAGGCTTGTTCAATTTGAATAAAATCATTGGGAGAAAATACAAATTGTATGTACAGTGTTTAGATTTTGTGAGTGAGTTATCCCGACCTGTAGATGCACCGAAGCAGAACGGATTTTCCTCTGCTTAAGTTATGTATGAAAGTATTCATGATAATCAAAACAAATACTGACATGCAAATAATGTTATGTGCAAGGCCTGAAAGTCCTATTTTTATTGCATTTGTAGAATTTATTTAAATGTACATATGCCTAGATGTATAGTATCCCTGTCAAATAAATAAAGACACTACTTTTGATTAATTCAATTCACGTATGGGAGCTGGTGAGGAAGAATTTGCCCTGTATTTTATGATGTTTTAAAGGTCACCTATCATGCTATTTTTAGGCAATAGCATAGGTCTCAGATATATCCAAATATATAAAAAACATGTCTATGAAGTGTTTTGCTCAAAATACCAAACAGATCACCCATTCTAGCCATGCCTCATATCCCTCTATTTCACTTCCTGTTTCAAAGTGCTGATTTTGGGTATAAAGCTTTAAAAATAAAAGAAGAAATTGATAACAAATTAAAAAGGAGGGGTCTGAGCTCATGCGGGACCCGGCAGCTACTGTCTAAACTAAATACTGCGGTGATGAAACGCCATATCATGGATTATCAAGGATTATTTCTGAAACAGTATGGAGCTCAAAGGCTTTCTCTCTTGCCGGTTATACCACAAGGTGAGTTCCTTTTTATTTCCTGCTTCTTCACACACATGCTCTCCAGTACAGGTTAGCTCTGGGTGTTAGCGATGCTAATGTAAACACCGACCATATTACGTCCAAAACAGTCAGGCATTGTTTCCGATAGCAACTTTCTGATAGCGCCGTGGGTCCACATTTCAGATTTGACGTCATATCGGACGCAAATCTGTATCAGCTCCGTTGTAGCCCCGTTTTTAGAGATTTGGGTACGGAGGAAAAGAGAGAGGGTTTTATTTTCTGATGCTGCGTGAGTTCCCCGACACACCGGGGACACATCTTTATGTATAAAAGACATCAAAAAGTGCATTTTGCATGATAGGTCCCCTTTAAAGGTTTTCGTGGTAGCTATTAGTGGAAAATGTGACTTCCATGTTGATGTTTCTCTCATTTGCATTTGAGATGGATATTTATCTTATGTATGTAATTCTCCATCATTAAAGGCTTTATAGCTTCCTGGATGAGTGTTTAGTGAACGCACCTTGATGCAGCGAGCCACCAGGTTGGCGATGAACTCCAGACAGCTGCCCTCCAGCCCGTGGAAGATCAGGTTTCCATACTGCTCCACCTGAGAGAGGACAGGGGGGGTTAGTGGATCCAGAACTAGTCTTGCACTATGTTATCAGTTTCATCTGTTGGAGGAGCCTGTGACTTCAGTTTTTCATTGCCATATCTACACTGTAGCTAAAGTTCTAATTACAATAAAGCCTTGAAACTTCAAACTGACGGACAAAAGTGTTTAGAGACATGCCAACAATAACAAGCTCCGCCGTGATGGAGTAAACGTACCATGTGACTGTACCACGGTACAGTCACATGGTACGTTTACTCCATCACTGGACTCTGTGTCTTAGAGGTACGTCAGTATTTCTATTACCTTTCACGGTCAACTTGTGAGATGTTTATATTGAATTTCTGTTCATTTTCAACAGTTTTTTTTTTTATTGTTCACATTATGTGCAATGCCTTCGTTTTTACATGCTGCTGTAACGGAAAAAAAATCCCAATTTAGGATCAATAAAGTATATCTTATCACATTATACTAGGAAGATACCATGTTGTTATCAAGGGGGAAGTCAAAAACAATAATGTTATATATAATAATTGTTATTATTATAATGATATATTATGGTACTTGTTGATGAATTAGCCGAACCATAAAAAAAAATACAAACAATACAAATCATTTTTCTTAATAAATGATAGTTTTAGAATTGTTGACATTGTATGGATTTACAATCAATTGATTCAATGGCAAATTATACATGGGTTCATTCATAAAAAACAAACAGTTGCAGCTTTAAATGAACAAAGCTCTGAAACATATTTTACCGTCTGACTCGAGTCACAGTGGATCAAAGCATCAGCTAACTGTCACACATATATACATTTAATACATTTTAAGGTACAGACGCTGCTGCTGACTGTTCTGTCACATTGTAAAAATGTAAGTGTGTTTTGTTAGTTTCCCAGCAGGGGGCGCTGCAGCTGCTGCTTTAACCTCCTTCCTCTTATCTGTCCATCACTTCATCTGCCTTTCAATTCTCCTGCTGCAGTCTTCCAGCTTCCTCCTTCCTCATCTAATCCCTCAATCCCTCGCGGTGCTTTCTGTGTGTTTGCATCTATTTAAGAGAGTGTGTGTGTGTGTGTGTGCGTGCGTGCGTGCGTGCGTGCGTGCGTGCGTGTGTGTGTGTGTACCAGGCGGACGTAGTTGTGCAGCAGCGGCAGAGGGAAGAGGCTTTCCAGAGCCGACTCATGGAGACACGACTCAGACAGACCTGTCGGAAACACACAGGCGGGAAACTCACACCACCATTCCTCAAATCCCCTCTGATCAGAAGCAGAGTTACATCACGGCTGAGAGCCAAGGTGCCCTTCAGATTAAACTCAAGCTAAAACGCTACAGGTTCAACGCTCAAAACATTCAACAGCTGTAACGAAAAATCTGCTGATTGTTGAACATGCTGTTTGCAATATGGACGTTCCTGCTTTCTCTCCTTTTTGTGTCATATTCAACGTTGGGTTTCCCATGATGAAACAAGACATTAAACGCCTCTCTTGATTAAGATGTCAATACATTGTATACAAATCATCGTATTCACAGGTTCAATGCCCTGAATGCAACATATAATAACCAACTATTTATAAATGGATTGATTGTAGAACCCGTTTTTTGGCAATAAATGCATTTTTCAACCTCTCAGAAAAGGACATTCCCTGCTTTTTCTCGGTTTTGCATCATTTTAAACTGAATATCTTTGGTTTTTACGTGACAAAACAAGACATTTTAAGACAGCACTTAAGACTCCGAGTGTGGAGCTGCAATACACCAAAGCCAACTGATAATAATCAATAGTTTAGGGGTAATATAAGAAATATTTCATCCAAAATTCGCAGTTTTCAGCTTCACAAATATGGACGTGTCCTGCTTTTCATCTTACTTGATTAAGATGTCAATTAATTCGATATATATCATTGTATTATCCTTGTGGTTCGGTGTCCTGAAGCTCATACTCCACAGGTTCAATGCCAGCAATGATTAACAGTAGTTTGTCGTTAACTATAGAGCTGAAAGAACATTTTTACTGAATGTGCCGTGCCAGTCCTCACTTTTATTATTCAATATGAATCAATTACATTTAATTCAGATTTTGGCTGATAATTAATTTGTTATTCTTGGAAACTGTTCTGGTTAATGTTCCTTTATGTGGTTTGACTCATCGCTGCCCACGCTACAAATGAATCCAAAGTGTTTTTTTTAGTCTCCTCTCATCCTCCAGATAACATTTGAATCCTCTCTGATATTCGCTCTGGTTCTGGCTCGGTGCTGCAGAATGAGTTTGGGTTGCCAGGTTGGTACCTTTGAGGCGGATGGTGACGCTCTGACTGAGGGGCTTCCTGACCAGATCCCAGGGGGAGAGAGGCAGCTCCTGATCTGGCAACCACTCTGTGTCTCCTGCAGGAGAACAGAAGGGAACAACAATCAAACAAACCTGTTGTACAATCATCAGGATCAGTCAGGATCAATCAGGATCAGTCAGGATCAGTCAGGATCAATCAGAAATACCTTTTAATTATCCCGGGGGAAAGAGATGAAGGAAACAGATAAGAAGGAGATAAGAAGTAAACATATTTTGTTTTTGTTATTGTTAATTTGTAAATTCAACATGTATAGTTTCTACTTTTGTGTTTATTTCTAGTCTTTTTAATTTGTATTGTACAATGCCATGTCTTTTATGCTGCAACGCAAACATTTCCCAAATGTGGAGGCGTTTCAGTCAGGGGGTGTTTCTCAATGTCGAGGAAGGCTGCTCCAGAGCCACTATTTCAAGGATGCTACGTCATCGAGTCCCGCCGAAGAACTGTTCCAATGTCCAGGATACTTGGAATTCTACCGAGGCCGGCGTACTTTGTTGCGGGAAATTTCGAGGCTGCACATGTGTAGACTTAAAATCCCCACAATGCTTTGCGCACGGACCAATTTCCAAAATCTGTGGCGGAAGATGTAAGGCGGGGCCTCTCATATGACGCACACCTGCACACTTGCTAGCGTGTTCCACACTTCGTTTTCCGAATGCCAGGAAGTATTCTTGCCTCGCTTCTGACGCAAGTGACTCGGAAGACATGTCCTACCAAGGAAGCATCCTCGACATTGAGAAACACCCAGGGAGTGTGTGGGAGAGAAACTCAACAATCAGACAAACCTGTCGTACAATCATCAGGATCAATCAGAAATACCTTTCATCACCCCGGGGGCAACGGATAAGAAGTAGAAGAATGTGCAATAATGAGATGAAATAAGATATATAGATATAAGAAATGAAATGTCCAATAAAAGATACAATAAAATATGGTACGAGTCAACCGCTTAGAGATGTCCCGCCCCTTAGCCTATCACGTTTGTTGTAACTTAGTAAAAAATATATATAAATAATTTGTTTATTTGCTTCCTGACGAAAGTTAAGGGTGGAATGCTTTACAGGAAATGCTTTTATTTCGAAGTGCAAGTATGTATCCTGCTCTTTCTCTTTCCGGTTATGTATGAGTTTTGTCGAATGCATTTTCCCCGTCTACTAACGTTCTTGTTGGAAACTGTTATAATAATATAAAGTAACGACGTTCAGTTTAGACTAGACTCGCTTTGTTATTCATTCGAAGCTTCCACTACACAACAACGTTCAATGTGTTGGAGCGCTAGCCAATAGAGACGTGAGTGTTGCATAGTGATGTCATTATGTTCAGGAAGTAAGTCCAATGGAGGTGTTTCAGGCAGGGGGGAGTGTGTGGGAGAGGGATTTTAGCCTCTGCCGACCATTGCACTAAAACCTATATAACACACTACAGGAAAGGGAAAACCCTAAAAAGCAGAATAGGGCCCCTTAAATCAAATGAAGGTTCAGCGACTCACGAGGAGACAGCTCTGCAGTAAACTCAGAAAACTTTCAGGAGGTTTAATCCCCCGTGCTGACAGGCAGTAAAGCTTTTTGTAGAAGTCCCCATTTGTTCTGACAACCAAACCATAGCTTTACTTTTCTTTCATCCCCGAGAGAAACTGTGGAGGCAAAAGTTGGAGGTTTCTCTCACTAATTGAACCTCCAACTTTATGAAAAATGAACTTCATGGCTCACATTGAACTTCCATTTGTCAAAGAAATAACCCTGCTGTGCTGTGACTATTAACGGCAGAGCAAACGTTAACTAAGTCTGCAAATAATATTTCTATATTGATTCGTCATCTCCTTATTTATCTGAATAATCAATTGATCCTCCTGCTGATGTTCAGGTGTATATCAGTATGTAGTGTCTCTACTTTAAAGAGTCCTCTCCTGCTGATGTTCAGGTGTATATCAGTATGTAGTGTCTCTACTTTAAAGAGTCCTCTCCTGCTGATGTTCAGGTGTATATCAGTATGTAGTGTCTCTACTTTAAAGAGTCCTCTCATGCTGATGTTCAGGTGTATATCAGTATGTAGTGTCTCTACTTTAAAGAGTCCTCTCCTGCTGATGTTCAGGTGTATATCAGTATGTAGTGTCTCTACTTTAAAGAGTCCTCACCTGCTGATGTTCAGGTGTATATCAGTATGTAGTGTCTCTACTTTAAAGAGTCCTCTCCTGCTGATGTTCAGGTGTATATCAGTATGTAGTGTCTCTACTTTAAAGAGTTCTCTCCTGCTGATGTTCAGGTGTATATCAGTATGTAGTGTCTCTACTTTAAAGAGTCCTCTCCTGCTGATGTTCAGGTGTATATCAGTATGTAGTGTCTCTACTTTAAAGAGTCCTCTCCTGCTGATGTTCAGGTGTATATCAGTATGTAGTGTCTTTACTTTAAAGAGTCCTCTCCTGCTGATGTTCAGGTGTATATCAGTATGTAGTGTCTCTACTTTAAAGAGTCCTCTCCTGCTGATGTTCAGGTGTATATCAGTATGTAGTGTCTCTACTTTAAAGAGTCCTCTCCTGCTGATGTTCAGGTGTATATCAGTATGTAGTGTCTCTACTTTAAAGAGTCCTCTCCTGCTGATGTTCAGGTGTATATCAGTATGTAGTGTCTCTACTTTAAAGAGTCCTCTCCTGCTGATGTTCAGGTGTATATCAGTATGTAGTGTCTCTACTTCATGTCTCCATGCTTTAATGTTCAAAAAGCTCTTTATTTTTCTCATACTGCCTGTGCTGCAGCACCTCTTTTCACCCTCTGTCTGAAACCAGAGCCCAGTCTGCTCTGATTGGTTAGCTGGCCGACTCTTGACTGTTAGACATTTTGTTTTGCAATTGTTCCAATATCTGTTTTTGTAGAATGCAAATGTCTCTTCTTATTAACTCACTGAAACATCTGTTCCTTTGTGCTGCTGATATCTTGGTCAGGACATTCATGTAAACAAGATTAAAAAAGAGGACGTTTGTTCGTGAAATAATGAATTCTCCTCTGAGCGACAAATTCACAGACTCGGAGGTCGAGCTCCAGAGGAATCGTGAGGAGTTGTTGTTCTGTCAAAAGGCTGTCACCAAACTGCAGCACACACACACACACACACACACACACACACACACACACACACACACACACACACACACACACACACACACACACACACACACACACACACACACACACACCACACACACACACACACACACACACACACACACACACACACACACACACACACACACACACACACACACACACACACACACACACACACACACACACACACACACACACACACACACACACACACACACACACACACACACACACACACACACACACACACACACACACACACACACACACACACACACACACACACACACACACACACACACACACACACACAGTGAGACACAGACACCAAACACTGTCTGCAGTTTGATCCCTGTCGACACGGAAGAGACATTTTCTCCTAAATTGGCGACGAACCCCCCCCCCCCCTCATCTCATCCATTATGCATCTGTCTGCTGCGAGTGCTGTCTTTCATCATCATCCCCAAAAAACACACACACACACACACACACACATACACAATTTCCTAAACACTGTCACAATCAATTCCTACATTAAAAGTCATGGTAGAAAAAAATCCCAGAATTTCACGACACATTTATTAAAAAATATTTGTGTAGTGTGTCAAAATATTACAATTATTTTTAAATGTCATAGTGCTAAATTCAATTTGTTTTCATCCTTAAAAATGTCATAAGAGCACAGTATGCCAACAATATTTTAGCAAAGACATGCCCTGTATGTTTAAAAAATGTCAGTCTTGTATGTCAGAAAATGATGTAAAGAATTGCTCAAATTCCAATTCCATGATTACAAATGGTGTTTTATGTCAAAGATGTCATTAAAAAAGTCCTAAATGCCACAGTATAGTATATTAACACATTTAAACTGGCATAATGCACAGTATGCCATTAAGAATAAAAAGTCAAAGATGCTAGTATGACCTCTTTCATGTCAAAAAATATAAATCATAAAACATGCAACACACACAGACACTCTCTCTCTCTCTCTCTCCAAAACACACACACACTTTATCTCTCTCTCCAACATACACACACACACAACAACAATAGCAAACCAACACACACACATGTGAAACCCTATCGTTGAACCCGCCTCTTGTGTTTGAGGGAAGCTGCCACGCACTGATGACATCTGATCCCCAGAAAACACAGACACACTCTGCACATGTTCCAACACATGAATTATTCATCACCTCAAAACTACAACAAGAAGAAGAAGACTGTATTGTAATATTGCTTTAATTGGAATTTCCCAATTTCGTATGAATAAAGTATCCCACCCCTCGCTGTCTCCTGTGTTTTGTTATAAGCGGGGTCAGATCCCTGGAGCACACGTTGCTCCAGGTTCATCTGTCCTTCCTGTATCTTCTAGAGGTGTTCATTTCTTACCAGAAGGTGATTCAATGTAGGATTTCCTCCACAATCAACATATAAATAAACAATTAAATCCTCACATGATGGCCAAAATCTGTGATAAAGATCTACATGTAAAAGTAAAGCATGCTGATAAGAAAGGGTCAACAAAGGAGACATTAATTGCTGGTTTCCTGTGTGCTATTTGCTTGCATGCCCACCCTACAAATGTGTTATACATGTATCCACTAGCCTCTTATGCTGGACTGGAATCAACACATATGTGTAGTGCGCTCCATGGTACTGGACTAATTGCTGTGCACATGTTCATTTAATATACTGCCTCTGGTGACCTGTATGTTGGTTGTTCTAATGTGTCAACGACTTAAGAATAAAGTATTATAACAAATTAAAAAAAAGGAGATATTAAAAGAGGCATTTGACTTTAAAACCCACCTATGATGAAGGAGGCGATGCTGCTGGAGCTGAGGCCCAGCGGAGGGCGCTGCTCCTCCTCCTCCTCCTCCCCGCAGACAGAGCAGAGGAAGGAGGTGAAGGAGGAGCAGAGGCTGGATCTCAGCTGGCTCCAGAGCGTGTCCCGGTGCACCGTCACCCGGCCCAGAACCAGAGGGTGGACCCCCTGCTGAGCCTCCTCCTCCAGAGCCTCCACCGGACACATGGAGCCCAGACCTCCTCCACCTGAACACTGGAGGAGCACCAGCACCCGGTACGAGTCTGCAGGACAGAGAACGCTCTTTAAAGGTCTCCTATCATACTGTTCTTCATCAATATATCACAGGTCTCAGATATATACAGAACCTGTCTCTGATTGGCTGAAACACCAAACAGATCATTGCATTACCCATAATCCCCTCTGTTTCAGCCCTGTTTCAAAAGTGCTGATTCTCTGTCTGTTACTTTAGATGAAAATAAGGAGCCCCTCCCCACGCCCCTCTGAGAGAGATTTGGTTACAAAGAACACAATGGTGCTCTAGGAGGAGATTCAGGTGATAAGGGGGGGGGGGGGGGGGGGGGGGGGTTACCTTGGTTGGTGATTGGCTAATGGTTACACAAGACAAAACATCGTGATGACATCATAAAGTGGCCAAAATCTGATCAGCTCATTTTCAGACAGGTTTTTATAGAAATGGATCAGGACAAAAAGAGAGAGAATCTTTTTTCCTGAAACTTTCAGAGTCTCTTTCCACAGAGGGGACACATGTTGATGTAGAAGAGACATGAAGAAGAGGGGACACATGTTGATGAAGAAGAGACATGAAGAAAGAGGGGACACATGTTGATGTAGAAGAGACTTGAAGAAGAGGGGGGGACACATGTTGATGAAGAAGAGACATGAAGAAGAGGGGACACATGTTGATGAAGAAGAGACATGAAGAAGAGGGGACACATGTTGATGTAGAAGAGACTTGAAGAAGAGGGGACACATGTTGATGGAGAAGAGACATGAAGAAGAGGGGACACATGTTGATGCAGAAGAGACATGAAGAAGAGGGGACACATGTTGAGGTAGAAGAGACATGAAGAAGAGGGGGGGGGACCAGTGTTGATGTAGAAGAGACATGAAGAAGAGGGGACACATGTTGATGTAGAAGAGACATGAAGAGAGGGACACATGTTGATTGTAGGAGGACATGAAGAAGAGGGGACACATGTTGATGTAGGAGAGGACATGAAGAAGAGGGGACACATGTTGATGTAGGAGAGACATGAAGAAGAGGGGACACATGTTGATGTAGGGAGAGACATGAAGAAGAGGGGACACATGTTGATGTAGGAGAGACATGAAGAAGAGGGGACACATGTTGATGTAGGAGAGACATGAAGAAGAGGGGACACATGTTGATGTAGGAGAGACATGAAGAAGTGGATTTTGCATAATAGGTGACCTTTAAAGATTTTTTTTTACAGCTTTATTGAGGTTTCTGCAACAATACTGACATTTAAACACAATGCAGAGAAATACCATGAATGAAGCTTTTGTGTTTTCACTACAGAAACAAGTGGAAACTCACGGAGGTTTTCCAGTAGGTCTTTGCAGTCATCAGTAGCCACGTCGTGAATAGTGCGATTGCATTTATCCCTCCGCTCGATGTCCTGCTCACTGTGGCTGCACAGCACCTCCAGACACTCCTACACACACACACACACACACACACACACACACACACACACACACACACACACACACACACACACACACACACACACACACCACAACACACACCACACACACATCACACACACATCACACACACAGCACCCACACACACACACACACACCAACACACACAACACCCACACACACACCACACACACACACACACACACACACACACACACACACCCACAAACACACACACACACACACACACACACACCACACACACACACACACACACACACACAGGGTGTGAAACTACAAGTACTTCTGCAACAGTCGCTCTTGTGTGTGAGGAAAGCATGGATTAACGATGGAGGGGGTCTCATTTATATTCCAGTCAGACCCTGGCTGTAGTCTAGTCTGGTGTCTCCTGCATTTGTTTGAGCGAGTGGGATGTTTGAGGTCAGCGGTCCCATTAACCTGCTGCTGAGGAGACTGACAGCCGGACATTAGTGCAGGTAGAGTCAGTGAGGTGTAAATAAATAGTGGAAAACTTTCAAAGTGATATCAGAGCTGCAGGAAAGCAGTGTGTTGACTTCATTTGTTTCCACTCTCCTTGATTTCTTTTTATACCTATGATAGTCCGTATGAGGAAGTCCGTTCAGTCCTATTGTAACCACCACCACTCCAAAATGTTGAATTTTTTTTACTTTGGTTGCAGATTTACAACAGACTGTATTTGCATTCAAATGCTAACGCCCTGTGGAGTTAGCAACTAAGCTAACAGGCAGTTTCCTTCATTTGAATTGCTTATGTCTTTTTATTACATTGCATAATTGGTTGAATTTCTTTCTAATAATATATAAAACTAACTTTATTCGCATCTTTGAGGAGAAGGATTTAAATGTATCTTCTATGTATTTACATGAAACGACATTTCTTTTTGAGTTTATATATAGAGTTACGTGTCCATCCGTGTGGTAGATGTCATATATTCCCCCTGCTGTTTGGTAAGTACAGAGACATGATCACACAAAAACATTGCAGTTTCTCCCGGGTTATGACTGAATAAAGTTTCATCCATTTGTTATCCTATATTTTGGCGGCTGCTCCTCACCTTGAGGCCGAGGGCAGCAGCCATGTGAGCGGCCGTCCATCCGTCGCTGTTGTCCCGGTTCAGCAGGGCTTCAGGTAGAGCGAGGGGGGGGTCAGAGGTCACAGCGGGGGGGTCAGAGGTCACAGAGGGGGGGTCACCCTGCGTCCGGTAGCAGAGCAGGAGGCGCAGCGTGTCCACGTGTCCGGAGCGCACGGCGGCGTGGAGAGACGAGCAGCCGTCCTGCGCACAGGGAAGAAGAATAATAATAATTGTATTTATAAATATATTGTGTACATTTTGCACATATTTTATATTGTATTCCATTCTATTTCAATGTAAATACTGCTATATTTTATTTTACTATATTTCTTATTATTTTTTAATGTTCTTATAGTTTTCTTAAAGTGGACCTATCATGCTATATTTGAATAATATAGTGTAGGACCATATCTATATAAGGCATATTTATACTTTTTTTTTTTCAAAATACCAAACAGATCATGCATTTTAGCCATGCCTCATTTCACTCAATTTGACATTTTTTTGCTCTGTTTTTGCAAGGGCAGATTCAGTGAGAACAGCACCATCTACAGGCCTGGCATATGTACTACAGCGTCTCCAGCGCTTTCGAACGGCAATGGCCGTGTCTGTCTCCTCCTGATTGGTGGAGTTGGCCCAATAGCCGTAGCGCCACCGTCCTGACGTCAGGACAGTGTTCAAATCTGGATCAGTTTTTATCAGATCCGTTGCAGCCCCTTTTTTAGAGATTTGGGTATGGAGGAAAATAGAGAGGGTTGTGTTTTCTGACACTTGGTGAGTTCCCTGGAACACCGGGGACACATATTCATGTATAAAAGACGTACAAAAGTGCATTTTGCATGATAGGTCCCCTTTAAAATAGTTCTCTATCTGTGTTTTTTTATTTTTGTTTTGCTTTTATGTATGCACCATGACACCAAGTCAAATTCCTCGTACGTGTGAACCTACCTGGTGATAAACCTGATTCTGATTCTGACAACTCAAGAAAGGTTGAGAAATGTCCACTTCTGTCACATGCAGGCGAGTGAAGTATGTACACAGGGAGAAGTGACGTTAAGTTCATCCGTTAGAAATGAGAGAATTGTTTGTATGAATGATCTTCATGTGAAGTATTACTTATATGATTCGGCTTTATTATGCTGCCTTTCAGGGAAGAATCATTGAATTATAACTCAAGAGAAGTTGAGAAATGTCCACTTTAGCATGACAATCATTTTCTTGAATATGATGATTTAGTTTTTTAAATGTCTGTTGTTGTTATGACAAAACAGCCATTACAATTAACCAGAGTACACATAGAAAATGAAAATCATCCTAAGCTGAATTCCCCGTGAACTGGAAGTTGTTCCAAATACTATCTCATGTACACATTGAGAGAAAATCAGGATCAGGTGTAAATTATAGCTGAGAAATTAAAAACCTGGGCTTTGTGATATTTTTCCCGCTTGATTTAAAAATGTTTGTATTATGATATTTGAATATTTCTGTATTCTGGTATTTTAAGCTTCAGTATTATATATTGTGTTATTTTATTTTATAGTTTTTTACATTTTGTATGATATTTGAATATATTTTTTAATTACATTTTGATATTATATATTTTTTCCGCTTGATTTCAAAATGTTTGTTCTATGATATTTTAATATTCATGTTTAGTGATATTTTTAGATATATTACATTTTTATATTTAATTTTTTAATATTTCAATATTTTTGTATCCTCCTCTTCCTCCTCTTCCTCCGTGTTAAATCTTTACGTTTGACCCGTCGTCGGCCATCTTTTCCTGCCTCTATAAATGATCGTGTGCTGAGGAGGTCAGATTTGCTGCAGAGACTCGGGGGGGGGGGGGGGGGGGGCCGAGCTAAATGTGGAACAAAAGCAGGTACACTCACTAAATATAGGCTCTGCTCTCGTGCTTCCACGGCAACTAACAAGGCCCTCTGGTTACCATGGAAACCCGTACATGAATTAGCTTGCACCAGTCAGAGGAGAGAAGATTACTTTTGTTCTTCTGTTGTTTTTCCTTATATTTGCTCAGAGTATAGTTTATACAATTGGACTAAAACTGTAGAGATGATAAACAAATAATAGGAAGAAATGTGTGAATGTGTCGGGGGACAGTGACTCATCAAATGGCACAATATACATTATATTTTTAATTGCAAAGCTACATAAATGTATCTCTATTCCAATTTGTTTAATGTATTTGATGTTAAAAAATAAATCCGTAAATACTATGAAATCATCAGCGTAATTTTTTTTTATTAAAAGACCAATTTTTTTAAATAGCATCTGTAATAACTAGAAGAAAGTGATGCCTAAGATAATCAGAATCATAGTACTCTCAATTTATCACGAGAGGAAATGAGGTTTTGTGACAGTTGAAAACAATAAATAAAAAGATAATTTTATATCATCGTGGATTGAAAATAGCGTTTCAAGGAATTTACAATTAGCAGTTTGGAAAATGTTGACATTTTATATACTAAATAATGAACAAAATCTAATGTGTGAAAAATGATAGAATTTGGATGGAAACCCTGTCTCTAAAATTGATTAAAGGGGACCTATCATGCAAAATGCACTTTTTGATGTCTTTTATACATAAAGATGTGTCCCCGGTGTGTCAGGGAACTCAAGCAGCGTCAGAAAATAAAACCCTCTCTCTTTTCCTCCGTACCCAAATCTCTAAAAACGGGGCTACAACGGAGCTGATCCAGATTTGCGTCCGATATGACGTAATATCGGAAATGTGGACCCACGGCCCTATCAGAAACGTTGCTATCAGAAACAATGCCTGACTGTTTTGGACGTAATATGGTCGGTGCATGTTTACATTAGCATCGCTAACACTCAGAGCTAACCTGTACTGGAGAGCATGTGTGTGAAGAAGCAGGAAATAAAAAGGAACTCACCTTGTGGTATAACCGGCAAGAGAGAAAGCCTTTGAGCTCCATACTGTTTCAGAAATAATCCTTGATAATCCATGATATGGCGTTTCATCACGGCAGTATTTAGTTTAGACGGTAGCTGCCGGGTCCCGCATGAGCTCAGACCCCTCCCTTTTTTTTTTAATTTAAAGCTTTATACCCAAATCAGCACTTTTGAAACAGGAAGTGAAATAGAGGGATATGAGGCATGGCTAGAATGGGTGATCTGTTTGGTATTTTGAGCAAAACACTTCATAGACATGTTTTTTTATATATTTGTATATATCTGAGACCTATGCTATTGCCTAAAAATAGCATGATAGGTGACCTTTGATTAAAATACAAGGAGTTGAAATAAAAATACGCAATAAAAAGAGCAATTCTATCTTAAATAATACAAATATTAAGTTAGATTAAGGCTCTAAAGTTTGAACTCTTTAAACTCACCTGGGACTATATTCACAAAAAGATGGCAAGCACAATTTGTGCCATATGTCAAAAATATGCATTTAATTTAAGACAAGGATGGCATCACACTTTACAGCTGCCTGTATTATCTAACTTGCTGTAACAATACTGTGTATCATTTGTGGAAACAGATCACCAATCAGTGTCTGTGAATGTGAACCACAAAAATGTGTTTTTGTATCTGCAAATACATCAAACACAATGATATATAAACAAATATAATTTAGACAAATCTACCTCCTAACAGTTTAAATAAGTTAATGATTGAAGTTCAGGACAGTTTGAGACTCACTGATGGAAACCCTTTCTCTAAAATTGATTAAAAAACAAGGAGTTGAAATAAAAATATGCAATAAAAAGAGCAACTCACGGCGGTGCAGAGTGAGCGCTCGGCCCCGGCGCTCAGCAGGACGCGGACACTCTCCAGACTTCCTGTTTCACACGCCAGGAAGAGAGAGGTCTGCCCCCCCGACGCCGCCACACCCACAGCAGCTCCTGCAGACAGCAGCGCCTCCACACAGCTGGGGGGGGGGGGGGGGAGGGGTAGAAACACGCATGTTAATATACACACAAAGTATGTCCAATATATCTATGTCTGTCTGATGATGTCTGATCTTTTTTAGAAGGCTCAAATATCTCATAGGGAATGACCATAAACATACACGGTTGATTTTGTAGACTGTAAATACTAAATAACACCAATAAAAACCTGACTATGTTTTGTTAACCTCAATTTGGGCGTTTTTTGCACCAGAAGTTGTAATATAGTTCCTAACAGCACATTTTGTACATGACAGTTTTTTTTATCATATATTTACTTATGTTTTAATTTGATGTAACCAAACTCAAAAGGCAACATCTCAAATCCAAGTGCTGTAACTGCAAATGTATGTTATTTGGCGTTATTGAATAGCTATCATCATATGTTTTTGCATTAATGCCTTAGTTATTAGCTGATAATAGATGTCAAGTGTTTTCTAGTGAAATATATTGTCTAATGTTGACAATCATCTTATATCAGTTATCTCTGGTAACAACGTGTATTTTTCAGCTGTAACCTCAAAAAACCAACACACACACACACACACACACACACACACACACACACACACACACACACACACACACACACACACACACACACACACACACACACACACACACACACACACACACACACACACACACACACACACCACACACACACACACACACACACACACACACACACACCACACACACACACACACACACACACACACACACACACACACACACACACACACACACACACACACACACACACACACACACACACACACACACACACACACACACACACACACACACACACAAGGGAAGAAACTCCATCAGCCGTCCAACCGGAGGAGAGAGACGATCATCGGAGGAAATGTGAGCCACGAAATACAGTTGAGCCCATAAAATAAATGCTGTGTGTGTGTATGCCTTTTGGATATTCCCACTCTATAAATAACACCGTGATCAGATATTACAACACTGCACATTCCCCAGCTGGTGCTGGGCATCGTGTTTTTGGCAAAAAGACAAACAAACACACACAACACACAACACACACAGTCACAGCACACACAGTCACAGCACACACAACACACACCTCACTTCAGTTGACAGTCTCTCCTGCTGTAAGCTTCTTCCATCACATCAGGATCAATACGTGTGATCAGAGCTGACTGTGTGTGTAGTGTAAGCATTAACTGTCATTTATAATTTATAATAAAAGCTCTACCAATCATCCAGCATAAAAACGTGGCGATTATGATGTGATGATAATTGTATCTTATTTAATGTCATCGTGAGTTGGAAATTGTGTTTGAAGGAACTTATGATTAGCAGTTTTGACAATATTGATATTTTAAAATGAAAGATTGTTGGATTGAAACCCCATCTCTAAGCAATTTGTTTTTTATTAAGCTTTGAGTGGTTGCAAAAACTGAAAAAGCACCATATAAATGCAGTTTATCTACGGTTTAAGTAATAATGCTTAAATGAAGGTAGGGTTTGTTTAAGCTTCAAAGTGGTTATGGGTTAGTCGAGCCTCAGGGAGCGAGGATGACTGCGAAATGTTATCAGAAGTTAAATAAAACGGTGGTGTGTGTGTGTGTGTGTGTGTGTGTGTGTGTGTGTGTGTGTGTGTGTGTGTATGTGTGTATGTGTGTATGTGTGTATGTGTGTGTGTGTGTGTGTGTGTGTGTGTGTGTGTGTGTGTGTGTGTGTGTGTGTGTGTGTGTGTGTGTGTGTGTGTGTGTGTGTGTGTGTGTGAGCTCACCTGCTGTGTCCGTGGGCGGCGGCAAAGTGTAAAGGTGTGAATCCATTTTCATCCGAGACGTCAGCAGGCGATCCAGCAGAAAGCAGCAGCTTCACACACTCTGACAGAGAAAAGACAATACAAGTGTTACCTGCTGCTGTACACAAGGAGCCGTCAACAGGCAAAATCAACAAAATACAATAATCATATTCTATAATATCATTAAAACTACTAAAATAGATCAGAAGAAAGTACCACAGACATACACAGTTGATTTTGTAGACTGTAAATACTAAATAACACCAATAAAAACCTGATTGGTTGGTTGACTATGTTTTGTTAACCTCAATTTGGGCGTTTTTTGCACCAGATGTTGTAATATAGTTCATTTTAACAGCACATTTTGTACATGAGGATCATCCAGTGTGCTTAACCTAAATTAAAAACAATAAAGAATACAAATGTAATTTAAAGGCTTTCTACTTGAGTACTGTAGGCCAAATTGTCCAAAATCAGGGTTACAGTAGTTAATATGAATCACTTGGTAGAATACACCACCATTATTTTGTTATGACTTTATTGTTGAACATAGATAGCGACAGTCCTGCCACATTATTAACACTAGAACCGCCAACGGGTACATTTTACCCACAGCTGTTTCTTGATTGTATGTAACTTTTTTTCAACAAAATATTCAAGTCTCCCAGTCCGTGACTTTTCCTGAAAGTGTTTATGTAGCACCCTCTGTTGTTAAACATTGTCAATATGAAGTCAGATTGAAAAAATGGCCAAAGAAATTGCCATTTATACCCATCAGCGGGTAATATTTACCTTATATATAATGCAGTGATTCTCGCGCTATTGATTGGTTTACTGCGGTTCCTAGAACCGATAGATAGATAGATAGATAGATAGATAGATAGATAGATAGATAGATAGATAGATAGATAGATAGATAGATAGATAGATAGATAGATAGATAGATAGATAGATAGATAGATAGATAGATAGATAGATAGAGAGATAGATAGATAGTTATAGATAGATAGATAGATAGATAGATAGATAGATAGATAGATAGATAGATAGATAGATAGATAGATAGATAGATAGATAGATAGATAGATAGATAGATAGAGAGATAGATAGATAGATAGAGAGATAGATAGATAGATAGATAGATAGATAGACACACTTTTAGCGATATTTCATACTTCATGCTATCTGCACACTAGATATCATATGAAAGCTGAGAGTCCACAGATTCTATTGGTATAAGTTACATCAATGTGCGATCAAAACTCACTGTTAACCCTGTGTTCTAGTATGATAAATAAAAGAACATTGTACCTTGAAAATCAATGCATTCTAATAGCGGGTACATTTGACCCGTTGGCGGTTTTAGGTATACAGCGACCCCTGGCGGTTCTAGTGTTAAGAAAGCTTCTGTTTCAGTAGCCTCATTCTGACAATGAGTTTTAATCCACTGGTTTTCTCTGAAAGATGAAGCATGGTACAGTTCTGTCTTCTCCTGTTAAACATCCTGAAATAAATACAACTCCAGAGATATTTCAAAGATACATTCACAATAACTGTCGTGGCATTTTACTCTCTACTACATTTCCCAGGAGTTGTAGTCACAGAGTTGGGCTTTTATTTTTACCTAAATGACAAGGCATCTAAATGTAGCTGTCTAGTACAATGGTACAGTATCCATTCATCTTAGGATATAGACAGACATTGTCTGGAAATTGTCTAAGTATTGCAGAAACACTGATAAAAGAAGCCTTTGATGAACATTAAAAGCTGATTGAACAAAGCAGAAGTAGGCCAATATTTCACATGTTTGTAGTGCATGTGACATCAAATACAGATACAGTGTCACATATCCGCACATCTGGTACTATGAATCCACCAGGAAAAACAGATCTGAATAAAAACAGATTGCTTCTTTGTCTAAAAAAAGAAATACTCCAAATTGCCCTTTAACATTGGCCTCTTTCTCTTAGCTTCCTACTGCATGTTTGTGCACTTTTCACGTTCCTGTTGTTGCTTTACTGTCAACATTTTTACCAATTTCCCATCCGGAAATCAAATATCTGCAAGTAGTTTAACATAAAAATGTATCTCAGTTTAGGAAAATTAAAACCCGGATGCAGGTTGCATACAACCAACGTGCAAACACGTGTTATTAGCAAGAGCTTTTGTTCAGACAACTATATATGCTTTCCTTTTAAGTTACACAAAGTCTTTGGTGAGTGCTAATCCTATCTGCATAGTTCTGTATGTCTTACTTGTTTTGATATGAGTTCTACACTCGTGGAAAAATATTTTGTCCTTTAGAACAAATAAAAAAACAGTCTATGTGAAAGAGTGGAGGTAAACGGTGTTCAGAGGAGACGGAAAACTATTGTGGGAAAAGAACAGGACGATGAAATATTGATGGAGGGAAAGACTAAAGTCTGTGTGTGTGTGAGTGTGTGTGGTGTGTGTGTGAGTGTGAGTGTGAGTGTGTGGTGTGTGTGTGTGTGTGTGTGAGTGTGAGTGTGAGTGAGAGTGTGTGTGTGTGAGTGTGAGTTGGAGTGTTGTGTGTGTGTGTGTGTGTGCTGTGTGTGTGTGTGTGTGCGTGGTGTGTCTGTGTGTGTGAGTGTGAGTGTGTCTGTGCTGTGTGAGTGTGAGTGTGGAGTGAGAGTGTGTGTGATGTGAGTGTGAGTGTGAGTGTGTGTGTGTGTGTGTGTGTGTGGTCTGTGTGTGTGTGTGTGTGTGTGTGTGTGAGTGAGTGCGTGCGTGTGTGTGTGTGAGTGTGAGTGTGAGTGTGGTGTGTGTGTGTGTGTGAGTGTGAGTGTGAGTGAGAGTGTGTGTGTGTGAGTGTGAGTGTGAGTGTGTGGTGTGTGTGTGTGTGTGTCTGTGTGTGTGTGTGTGTGTGTGTGTGTCTGTGTGTGTGAGTGTGAGTGTGTCTGTGTGTGAGTGTGAGTGTGAGTGAGAGTGTGTGTGTGTGAGTGTGAGTGTGAGTGTGTGTGTGTGTGTGTGTGTGAGTGTGAGTGTGAGTGTGTGTGTGTGAGTGTGGATCCACCTATGATCCCTGAGCACAGCTGTCCTTCAGCTGCATTAGCTGTGTTTATGGATCAACGCTTCTCGAATGACGATGTTACTAAACATCTCAGCGGGAAGCGGATCCTGATAGACCTGCACTGTGTGTGTGTGTGTGTGTGTGTGTGTGTGTGTGTGTGTGTGTGTGTGTATTTATTATTATTATTCTGTCTGTGCCACTGTCTGTATGAACGAGCCTGCAGTCGACACCCATGCTGAGGTTACAGCCCTGACACGACGGTCCATCTCATTTAATGGCAGCCAACATAATGAGATCAGCCGCATCTCATAACACTGCAGACATGATAACATGCAGAGTGTTTATCAGCAGCAGGTCTTTCTCCTCTCACTTCATCTTCTTATAGCTAAATTATAGTGTCTGAAATAAGGTCTGAGGTAAACACAAGCTGAAGACATTTTCCAGCTTTGTCCTAGAACATAACATACATCAGTAAACAACCGAATGGTGAATGTCTGAAGCTTGGGTGATTGACTGGGCGATATGAATGTGTAAACTGTGCCTCAGAAGAAATGTGTCCCCCGTTAGAGCTTTAGAAATACAATTAGTACCGAAGTATCTTGTGATTATTGCTTGATGTCAAAGATCTCGTGTGAACTCATAATATTGCATATCAAGCTGCTTTGTAAAGTAACGTGATTAAAACAAACCTGAAGATGGAAAAAATAATTGCATTATAGGTAAATTTTGACAGTGTTATCTCAGCTTTCTGAAATCAATAATGAGCCAATCCTGCAGAAAAAGTCATTTGTTGAACTTAATGTAACGTGATATATATTGTAACTTGGATATAAATAACATGTACCATGACAGAAGATGTTGGCCATATTGCCCACCTCTACTAAATTATGTTAAATATTTAATTATAATATAATTACGGCTGCAACAAATGACCGTTTTCAAAATCTGCCAATTATTATTTGTATTAATTGTTTGAGCTATACGCTATCAGAATATAGCTTTAAATGTATCGTATCTTATTTAAATATATGTGATTGATTTTATAATTACTACATGGTGATGTCTTATGACCCTGTTAGGAGTGCACTTCTATTTCCTTCATATCAGCCTCATAGAGCAATCAATGCTGTGTGAAGCCTTTGTTTGTATTTAAGTGTATCACCCTGTCTCCATCAATCAATATGAATCAACACAAGCCTCTCGGCATCTCTTGAAGACTGCTCTTTAAAATCAATCATCCAGTCGACCGCGGACCGAAACCTCAAATTCCCACCGGGTTCACCTCCGCTTTAAAATGCACAGACTCATTAGTGCAGCCACAGAAAAAACTGGAGCACACTGACTGATGTGCATGTTATTTAAGCAAACACCATGTACCCAAGAGTTAGAGAAAGTAGGTCTATGGGAGGGTCACTAGTACAAAACTGCTTATATATGTATTAAAAAAAACTGCAATTAGGGCTATAACCATTATTTTTAAGGATGACAACACCAAGGCCAATATACTTTAATTGTAAGCTAATTAATAACATTTTCTATGGACTTTCAGTCATTTTGATTAATTCAAACGTTTTTTTGACAGTTGTTTGCTGTTTTTATTCTCTTATATACAGTAAATATTCTTCTCCTGTTTTTTACATGTGCAGAAAATGATATCCAAATCTGAAAAGGTGGCTTCGTGGGGTATGTTAACAGTTCATTTACATGGAGGTACACAGGGACTAGTTGGTTTATCTTGTAATTTCCATGTCTTGTGTTTTTTTCTTCCATCAAAGACTGCTTTTTGAAGTTGTTTTGAATGTTTTTAAGTGATTTCCCCCTGAAATTGTTTGTGTCAATATATTCTTTTGAGTTAAAATTCCTAATAAAAATCAAACGACTTTCGCTAAATCAAATGTTTTATTTTTATTTTAGCTAGTTACAAACTTGTATAACAAAATCAGATATCAAAGGTCCCCTATTATACTGTTTTTCATCAATATATTATAGGTCTCAGATATATACAAAACATGTGAAGTTTTTTGCTCCAAACACCAAACAGATAATTGCAGCATCCCATAATCCCCTCTGTTTCAGCCCTGTTTCAAAAGGGCTGATTCTCTGTCTGTTACTTTAGATGAAAATAAGGAGCCCCTCCCCACGCCCCTCTGAGAGATATTTGGTTAATAAGAACACAATGGTGCTCTAGGAGGAGATTCAGGTGATAAGGTGGGGGGGGGGGGGGGTTACCTTGGTTGGTGATTGGCTAATGGTTACACAAGACAAAACATCGTTATGACATCACAAAGTGGCCAAAATCTGATCAGCTCATTTTCAGACAGGTTTTTATATAAATGGATCAGGACAAAAAGAGAGAGAATCTTTTTTCCTGAAACTTTCAGAGTCTCTTTACACAGAGGGGACACATGTTGATGTAGAAGAGACATGAAGAAGAGGGGACACATGTTGATGTAGAAAAGACATGAACAAGTGGATTTTGCATCATAGGTGACCTTTAAACCTCTCAAGAGAAGCACTAATGAGTTTATTTCTGACTCACCTGTGTGTCCATTTTGAGCAGCAGCAAACAAGGCAGCGGTTTGGTAGTGGTTGTGGTGGAGGTCTTGGTCTGGATGATTGTTGTTCTCCGTGGTGTTGTTGGTAGTAGTAGTAGTAGTAGTAGTGGTGGTGTTGGTAGTGGTGTTGGTGATGGTGGTCGGGTCTGGTTGGTTAAGCAGCATTGACAATAAAGTGACATTTCCCTGGGAAGCAGCTTGGGGGAGGAGGGGGCGCCCGCCGTCCAGGGCAGCAGGGCCTCCGCCGCCGAGGGGGGGGACTACGGAGGGACACCAGCCTGCAGGGGGGGGAGGAGCAGGAGCAGCACAGGTTAAACTACCAGGAGGAGGAAGAGGAGGAAGAGGAAGCTACTAGAAGTACTGAGTATGGGAGAGCAAAGGTGTAAGAAGGTGGGAGGGGGAGGAGAGCAAACTTCAGTTTCACACATATTATATTATGGTACAGTTTCACCCCACATGAACTTTTGAAAGAACATCCATAACATTCATCTGTTTGCAATTTATATCAATATTCCAAGTACTTGTATACAGACTATTCTGCACTATTTCTATTATATTATATTTTATTTACTTGTACTATTATCTGTGTTATTGTGTTGCACTGTTGGAGGAGCCTGTGACCTAAGATTTTCATTGTCATAACTACACTATACTGTAGCTATGTACACATGACAATAAAAGCCTTGAATTGAACTGAATATCACAGTAAAGTCTCTTTTGTCTGAGCAGCAGGCAGGAAGTGAGGTATGGGATTAGAGATAATTTCCAGTGATGACAAGTTCATGTTTTGCAGCTAAACATTGTTCATTTCTTTGTGTTGTTTCTGCCTGTATGTAAAGCGTCTTTGAGCATTAGGAAAAGTGCTATAAAAATCAAATGTATTATTATTATTATTATTTACTTTAATCCACTAATTGGAGGATTTTGATTTTAGTGTATTTTCTATTTTTTGCATTTGTTTAATGTTTTTTTGTGTGTGCTGAATTACTTATTTTTAAAGAAACGTATGATCAACTCAGGTAAAAACAACATTTGAAGAGGTGCTAGGCATGATTATTTGTGGAGAAAATCTATCAGAATATACTGTGTTGATCCCAAAGTCTCAAAGATATCAGATATGTCAGGCTGGATATGGGAGTTGTTTATAAAATGAGGCAGAAGATATAAATATTTCCATTTGATGATAACATGAAGCTTGAACATCTTTTTATGAATATTGGGTCTGATCTCAAAGCCACTGTAAACATCATACAACTTTGATGAACAGCTGGAACAAGATGATAAAGAATATAATGCATAAGTATAGTATTTTCAGTCAGAACCATAAGGATATCTTAAAACAAAACCCAAAGGAGAAACATATTTAAAACAAATTAGCTAGCAAGGCCAGCATGTGGGCTATTTAGCATCCAAGCTTGTTGCTAATAAGGCAACCATTAGCTAAACTAACGAGCTAACATCACACAAACTGACGTGTCTTTCAGCAAGAAACTTACCAAACATATAATAATGTGTGAAATGCTCTGCTAATATTAGGTTGGCTAGGTGTTTTTATTCCAGCATCCAAGCTAGGTGCTAATGGAACTAGCTCGACCCTTAGCATTAGCTAGATAAACTAACTAGCTACCATCACACAAACTGTACTTAAAGTGTCTTTCGGCAGGTAACTAACCAAACATAATATATTGTGTAAACTGTTCTGCTAATGATATGATAGTGTTCTTATTTTAGCTAGTTACAAGCTTGCCACAAAATCAAATATAAAACATCTAACAAAAGTACAAATAAGTTTGTTTATGTTGCTGTAGCTTGAAGCTATAAGGCATCCAAGCTACGCGCTAATGGAGCTAGCTCGACCCTTAGCATTAGCTAGATAAACTAACTAGCTACCACCGCACAAACTGTACTTAAAGTGTCTTTCAGCAGGAAAATAACCAAACAATAATGTGTGAAATTCTCTCCTAATAAAAGGTAAGGGTTCTTATTTCAGCTAGTTACAAGATTGCCGAAAAAATCTGATATTAAACCTCTCAGTGAAGCCACTCAGTTTGTTTGTGTTGCTGTAGCTTGAAGCTATAAGGCATCCAATTTAGGTGCTAATGGTGCTAGCTCGACCCTTAGCATTAGCTAGATAAACTAATTAGCTACCATCACACACACTGTAGACTAGTTAAAGTGTCTTTCAGCAGGAAAATAGCCAAACAATAATGTGTAAAATACTCTCCTAATAATAGGTAGACGTTCTTATTTGAGCTAGTTACAAGATTGCCACAATAATCACATATTTAACCTCTCAGTGAAGCCACTCAGTTTGTTTGTGTTGCTGTAGCCTGAAGCTATTTCCGGCTAAATCCCATGTTATGACTGTAATGCTATGAGCATATCAAGAGGATTACCGGGGGATTATGGTGACAAACAGGTAAACAGGTAAAGTGACATGCTGAGGTTTTATTTCAGATGGAAGTCATCCAGGTACACTGTGATGAACGCTCCACTCCCTTTACTAAACCAGAGATAATCTCTCCATTTAGATCTGCTGCTGAAGCGTGATTTACAAAATAAACTCTTTATAGCTTGTTTACATGTCATTCAAAATGTTTGGGTTTTGTAAATGTAGAGAAAAATGCCTGACGCTTTATTACTTTGTATGCTTTTTCATTGAAGATATGAACTGCTCGCAAAATATTTACCAGAAACCTAATGCATTGAAGGTATCTTGTTCATTATTCTTAATACACATTCATTTCAAATTGAGTCTGACATATTTGGAAAATATTGGTAGTGTTAACAATGTATAAATGTTTAGTTTCTACAGATTTAGAAACAATATTTTTCAGATTGTATCTCTGTGTATGCCTTTTTATTGAAGATAAATATTGCTTGCATTATTAAACGTACATTTCAAGCCTGTAACGCTCTGTTTTTACATCCGATTATTCTACAGAAATTGTTGATGCATCTTGTTCTTTATTATATACACATTTTGGTAAAACACAGCCTGACATATCTAGGATCTCAAGACCATTTTGGATCACCATTAGAATAAAAATAAAAATAAAAGGTTGATCAAATGTCATGCTGCACAACACATGCTTATAAAGATTTACCAATCGGGTTGGGTCTAGAGTTAACATTTGAATTGGAATTTAAACTGGTTTAAATTAATATTGCACATAAATATAGTTTAAACCTATAGGCCAAATAGTGTTAAACCAGGAGAAAACCATGCCAAATATAAGCAAGATGAAAAACAAGATTTTGAGATAATTTAATATTCTTTACATACATTGTTTACTGTGGGTAATAGATCATATTTGTAATAATTATCTAAAGCAATACCAGGCATTTCTCATGACGCAGAAACCCTGTGATAAAATGTTGGTAATTTAATTAACATGTGACGTGCGCTGCAGCCTGGACAAAAGAGTCAGATTAACAGCGAGATGATGGATAGCAATCAGCTTTCAGTACAATCATTCACACAGTGGACAAATAGAAAATTCACACACTACTTACTGTGCAAGTATACAGCGTTATTAAATGATTTAGCAGAACAAACAGATGAAAATGGGAACAGAAAAGACCTGATTACTAAACAACTTCACTAAAACTACTTAGTAAACCTGCTAAGGCTTTAGATGCTAGTTTTTACCATGGTTTATACTGCTATTCTGACCTGGGAGGGTTAAAATAGTTAGAAAAAAAGCAAGATGGAGAATTTGAGTGCAGAAATGTGTCTCACAGACGGAGTGGAGTTAAAAAAAGAGACTAACGGTAAAGTGCAGCAGAGATTCTTAAGGACGTAGGTAATAGAAGCTGTTATAGAAGCACTTCCTGTGTGTCAGTAGGTGGTGGTGGCGAATTAAAAAGGGCAAAAACTGTTTGATGACCAGTGAGATTGTGGACCTTCCCTTGCCCTAAACCAATTCACATATTTATAAGATTTGAAAGTGCTATTAAATGCAATAAAACCCCAAAAGGTTGGTAACACTGGTGTAACAAAGATATCAATATGTTGTTCTTCTTCTAAATCTTCTTTAGTCTACAACCTCTTGTTACAGACATAAAATAAAACATTTGAGCAGATATATAGCAGTTGTATTTGAAGCCATGAGGTACATTTCTGTTTATATTTTGTGCTTCTAGAGGCTGTCATTTAACTTTAAATTACCAGATATTTGGAGGGCAGCTACATCAACGGATATGAGGACTTGTTTTAAAAAAAGGAGCAATTATTAACAAAGAGCCGATACAATACATAAAAAAACTCAAATATTTGTTTACATTTTAAATGGATTCAATGGATATTCTAAAGGATTTGTTAACTACGTCATTATAGGCTATTTGTTATCTACAAAACACGTGTTTGAGTTACTAGATAGAGCCGCTTTATACGTTTAAATTGGGATACATCTGCATGCAAAAGAACAGGACTTTTAAAAAATGCATAGGCCTATGTACTTGTCACATTTCACAGGTACAATTTTAGGATGGTTCCAGTTTATTACAACCTAGGTCTTGTATTCTTAGGTTTGTCTTCCTTTCTTATATAATGACTGTGAAAGCAGCAATATTACCAACAAGAATTAGAAGACTGGATCTTGAACATGAGCAGAGAGTTAATCAGGCCGAGAGTCAAGCCAAATTATGTGATCCAGCTGATATGAGAGTAAAACTAAGATGTAATATTCATTCATTGTGAAATGTGTGCATCTAGGGGTGTATGTAAAACCAAGAAGTAATTATGTAGTAATTATTCTCCTGCAGATTTAATATAGACTTGTTGTTTAACATATCCAGGACGTTTCCCATTAACCCTGGAAAGCCATAAGTGACAAGAGTACGGTGACGTCTTCGAATTTTGGCATAGACCTTGTACCAAATTATCGGTTCTTGTGACATCTGTTTGAGTAAAATTGTATTTTTACAGATAGAAATGATGGCAAAATTATAGAAAAAAATACCTAAGTTGTAATAAACAGTAAACAACCAAGCGTAGCACCAAAAGCACATCACAAGGTAAATATAAATGCCTACATCTATATTAAATGAATAACAGAAACGTCACTGACATGAGACGCAGGTGTGATGAGTTAATGGAAGCAGAGACAGGAAGAGTGCAGGAAGTGGAGGAGTTGTCATGCTTCTAGAGGATGGGAAAGGGAAGGGGAGGAGAGGAGAGCAGCCTCTGGCATCAGCTTCAGAGAGGAAGGGGTTACTGCTGGGAAATATATCGAAAATCAGGAGAGGGGGAAACGAAAGACCCATGTGCTTTCCTACGTTTCATTAAATTACATTTCCTGTCACTTTATCGCTATGCTGTGCTATGCTACAAAATGATATGCTATGCTATGCTATGCTACTCTATGCTATGCTATGTGTAAAGACAGTTGAAGAGAAGAGGCAGATCCTACGTTGCATTAAATTACATTTCCTGTTACTTGTTCGCTATCCTGTACTATGCTATGCTACAAAATGATATGCTATGCTATGCTACTCTATGCTTAGCTATGCTATGCTATGCTATGCTATGCGTAAAGACAGTTGAAGAGAAGACGCGGGGGGGAGATCCTACGTTGCATTAAATTAAATTTCCTGTGACTTATCGCTATGCTGTGCTGTGCTATGCTATGCTATGCTATGTGTAAAGACAGTTGAAGAGAAGAGGCAGTGGGGAGATCTGGAAGGGGGTGGAGCACGGAGGAGCCCCTTTACCTGATGCTGTTGCCAGGGGGCTGCCTGCTGAGGCTCGGGGGCTACGGGAGGATGAGGCACTAATGGAGGAGGAGGTGGAGGTGGAGGAGGAGGGGGGGTTTATGGAGGAGGGGCTACTGACAGTGGAGGCGGGGCTGATGACGGGGGGGCACTCTGCACATGCAGAGGTCCGGAAGCCCCCCGGGGAGAAGCAGGCACCCACCTGAGAGGCCATCAGGGCTGGGACCAGGTCCAGGGCGGGTTTTGGCGGCAGCTGGGGAGTGGCCGGTTTTCCCCCAGAGGAACGGTCCCCCACTCCCCCCTTCATGGAGGGGTGAGGGGGAGAGGGGGTCTGGGAAAGCCCTGGTTTTTTGGGAGGTATGGGAGGAGGGTTTCCCCGGTCGATCCTGGCCACCGTGGGCGACTTGAGGCCGATGGGGTGGCTCAGGCGTCCGGGGAAAGGTCCTCCTTCTGAGGCGGAGTGAGGGAGACCCGGACGCATGGGTCCTCCCGCGGGGGGGCTGGTGAAGCGCGACAACACCTGGGTGACGGTGTGCCGGGCTTGCTGTTTGGCGGCGAAGTTGTCCCGGTTGGTGGGCGACAGGTCCCGGGCCGGGGGACTCTGGGACGACGTGCCGTTTTGGTCCTGTTCCTGGAACTTGTAGCGGGCAGCCTGGACGCGAGGGCTCACTCCGGTGGGGAGGCCGTGGGCGGGTTGGCCCTCGGAACCGTTCTCCGTCTGGACGAGACCCCCCGAGCTGCTGTGGACGAGCCCCCGCCCGCTCGTCTTCGGCAGACTCAGCCCCACGTAGTTGACGGGGGTCGGTTTGACGGGGACAGTGAGGGGGCTCTTCTTTGAGATAGGACCGTCCACCTCAGTCGGGGGCAGGTTGTCCGTTTGAGAAGACGCTGTTCGGGAACTGATGGGCTCTGTGGCTACGGACACAGACGTCACAGCTTTAGGTGTGGGTGGTGTGGGTTCTGCAGCAGCTTTAGGTTCTACGGCAGGTTCTACGGCAGGTTCTGCAGCAGGTTCTACGGCGACTTCAGCGTCCTTCCCGTCGCCCGGTTCAGTCCTAAGCTGCTCCACCTGCTGCCGTAGACTCTGGCTCTCCGTCTCCTCGCGGCCCAGCCTCGCTCTCAGCTGTTCTCGCTCCGTGTCAAACTCCGACAGCTGCTTCTCCATCTTGGCCTCCATCTGTTGGCTGCGCTGCCGCTCGGTGGAGAGTTCTTCCTGCAGCCGGCCCGAGGCTCGGCTCTCCTCGTCCAGACGGGCCTGAAGCTCGTCGAAGCGCTGCGACTCCTCCACCACCCGCGTGGCCAGCTGCTTGCACTCGCGCACCAGCATCATGACGATGTGCTTGTTCTTCTCACGCTCGTCCTTCAGCTGCGCCGTCAGCTTACGGTGATCCTGCTCCAAACTCTGCAGCTGCAGCTTCTCCATCTCCAGCTGGAGGAAGAGATACACACATGTTAGGAAACATATTTAAACAAGATTTCATAAATACACAAAAAGACCACCAAAAGATCATATCCTCCAGCACCCGTGTGGTACAGAGCTTTGTAGGTCTACATAAAAGATACAGTCTTTATCAAGTGCTTAATGTAGAAATGGATCAATGCAATGTTTTAAAAATGCACCAAAGAACGTGCATGATATTTTATAGATCTATAAAAAAGATACAGCCTTTATCGAGCGCTGAAGTTATTTATTGCTTAATTGATTGATCATCCATAATAGCCACCTCCCCAACATGAGGACTTTTCTCCGTTTAATGTCACTCAATGTTAAACAAATAAATACAAACTCAGGGAACAGAGGCATAGATCATTGCAATGCGTTCACAAATGCTCAAAATAACCACTAAAAAAATTATACCACAGGTACAGAGCTTGGTAGATCTACGCAAGGGATTATTTATTAAGTGGTATATGTATACACACAGGGCACAGCAGCAGCAGTAAGCAACGCAATGTTGTAAAAATGAAAAAAAACTGGTACCAAAAAATCTGAGCTTGGTAGAACTAAAAAGATCGATACAGCTTTCATCGAGTGCTTTAGAGATATTTGCAAATTAATCGATTGATACACAAAAATACACCAGCTTCTAAAAATGTTTTTATTCATTTCAATATGACTTAGGGCTGCAAACTAAAAACAAAATGGTGATGGTACTAAGTGATATCTTAGTCGCTTTGTGTGTAAAACGTATATAAAAAAGTCAAACTACAATGTCGATCAGTGTTTTCTTTTGTCCACAACTTAAATATATGAAGTTTAGGTCATAGAACAGGAGTAAAACATAGTCATATTCAAGAAGGTGAAACAGAATATAATTGATCTTAAAAAGTACTTAAAACAACTAGTTGATTATTAATAAAACTAATTGACAAATTGATTCATCCTAACAGATCTAATTTGAATATTTGGTAATCTTCTTTTTTACCTGACGATCACTTATATACTTAATTCAACAAATGAATTGATAAGAAACCTGCAGCAGTAGCCTTTTTATAACATGAGCAGATAACAGAGTGCGTGAGTAAGTCATCAGGTGTCTTCAGTTACAGAATTACAGAGTGAATGTGATGCGCATGTGACAGACTGACATCATCCCGGATACCTTTTAACACAGATCGTCTATCAATCATCAATCAGTCCAGCACACACACACTGTACACACTGTACGTGCTCCATGAGCGTCACATGTATGTCAAACATCTGAACATCTCTCACACACATTCCACATCACACCACCTGTCTCACTGCATCTGTGACACACTGCCAATGTGAGGCTTCATCCTGAAAATACCATCCATCTGTGGGACCCTCAGTAACATTGGGCCTGTTAACACACATGGAAACTGTAATATTCTGTACAAGCACTTTAATATTTAGTAGGTCACGGTATGAGTACAAGGAGTGATGTGTTTCTGTGTTTTCAGGTACGTTTAAGTGGTAAAAGAGGTCTAAAAGTAGTGACAGAGATGTATAAAGAACGTGTTGTAACTAACTAGTGGTAAAGCAGGCACTAAAGCTATATCGCAGTTGAATGCAAGTGTATCATGTGAAAAAGAGCGTCACATGCTAGCTAATATTAACTGTTTTGTAACCACGTGTGGTTAAATAATGACTTGTGTATGTGTTTTGAGGGTTATTTGCAAGCAGACTTGTTGATAATTTATGTTCCATGCAAGTATAAGAATGTAAACAGATGTTTATAAAGATGCATCCCTAGCCGACAGTAAGCAGCCATGTTTCAGTGATGTGTTTCTGGGTTTTCAGGTAAGTTTAAGTGGTAAAAGAGCTCTAAAAGTAGTGACACAGATGTATAATGAACGTGTTAGTGTAACAAACTAGTGGTAAAGCAGATATGAAAGCTATAACGCATATGTTTAGCAGTTCAATGCAAGTGTGTCGTGTGAAACAGAGCGTCCAATGCTAGCTAATATGGAATGTTTGTAGCTAAATTACGACTTGTGTCTGTGTGCTGAATACCATCAGTCAGGGAGTTGTAAGGCTTCATTTAAGTGTCCAAGTGTGCAACAAATCACCCGAAGAACAAAATATCATTCAATCTAATTTATATATAAACTGTAATGGAGTATTGGATAAATGCAACCGCTTGCATTCTGCGGTAATGCAACAACCCAAATCATCATCACAAAGCCATTTGTGCCACAAAGATAAAATTAGCCAGTAACGATTTTCTCAAGAAGAGCCTGATTAAAAAGACAACATAATTAGATATTTCCACACACTATTTAAACCATGGCTTGGCTCAGGGTTTAATTTATATAATCAGAGAGACATGGTTGAATTTTGATGACTTGTCAAAGCTCTCTATATCTGGAGCGCCGCTGCTATTGTTAGCTCAGATCTGGCTTCACAGAGGGTAACGAGGCTTAACGGAGGCTCTGCACCCGACTGCCAGACCCATCGCTCTAACAAGCCTCCAACAAAAGAGTCGACACCCCTGTAACCAAAACGAGAACCCCTCCTCGCCTCCACATCCACAAACCAAACCATCAGGGAGTTGATACCAGCTGAGGGAGCGCCAGTCACTGCTCAAAAGGAGGTGCTACGACTAGCTGCTAATTGGGTGAGGATTATGTGTGTTGTAAATCAGCCTAATGCCTCAGGAGGACATATTTAGAGATTCTGGCACCGGGCAGGATTAAAGAGGACATATTATGCTCATTTTAAGGTTTTATATGTGTATGTAGTGTAGTGTCTCTACTTTAAAGAGTCCTCTCCTGCTGATGTTCAGGTGTATATCAGTATGTAGTGTCTCTACTTTAAAGAGTCCTCTCCTGCTGATGTGCAGGTGTATATCAGTATGTAGTGTCTCTACTTTAAAGAGTCCTCTCCTGCTGATGTTCAGGTGCATATCAGTATGTAGTGTCTCTACTTTAAAGAGTCCTCTCCTGCTGATGTTCAGGTGTATATCAGTATGTAGTGTCTCTACTTTAAAGAGTCCTCTCCTGCTGATGTTCAGGTGTATATCAGTATGTAGTGTCTCTACTTTAAAGAGTCCTCTCCTGTTGGTGTTCAGGTGTATATCAGTATGTATTGTCTCTACTTTAAAGAGTCCTCTCCTGCTGATGTTCAGGTGTATATCAGTATGTAGTGTCTCTACTTTAAAGAGTCCTGTCCTGCTGATGTTCAGGTATATATCAGTATGTAGTGTCTCTACTTTAAAGAGTCCTCTCCTGCTGATGTTCAGGTGTATATCAGTATGTAGTGTCTCTACTTTAAAGAGTCCTCTCCTGCTGATGTTCAGGTGTATATCAGTATGTAGTGTCTCTACTTTAAAGAGTCCTCTCCTGCTGCTGTTCAGGTGTATATCAGTATGTAGTGTCTCTACTTTAAAGAGTCCTCTCCTGCTGATGTTCAGGTGTATATCAGTATGTAGTGTCTCTACTTTAAAGAGTCCTCTCCTGCTGATGTTCAGGTGTATATCAGTATGTAGTGTCTCTACTTTAAAGAGTCCTCTCCTGGTGATGTTCAGGTGTATATCAGTATGTAGTGCCTCTACTTTAAAGAGTCCTCTCCTGCTGATGTTCAGGTGTATATCAGTATGTAGTGTCTCTACTTTAAAGAGTCCTCTCCTGTTGGTGTTCAGGTGTATATCAGTATGTATTGTCTCTACTTTAAAGAGTCCTCTCCTGCTGATGTTCAGGTGTATATCAGTATGTAGTGTCTCTACTTTAAAGAGTCCTGTCCTGCTGATGTTCAGGTATATATCAGTATGTAGTGTCTCTACTTTAAAGAGTCCTCTCCTGCTGATGTTCAGGTGTATATCAGTATGTAGTGTCTCTACTTTAAAGAGTCCTCTCCTGCTGATGTTCAGGTGTATATCAGTATGTAGTGTCTCTACTTTAAAGAGTCCTCTCCTGCTGCTGTTCAGGTGTATATCAGTATGTAGTGTCTCTACTTTAAAGAGTCCTCTCCTGCTGATGTTCAGGTGTATATCAGTATGTAGTGTCTCTACTTTAAAGAGTCCTCTCCTGCTGATGTTCAGGTGTATATCAGTATGTAGTGTCTCTACTTTAAAGAGTCCTCTCCTGGTGATGTTCAGGTGTATATCAGTATGTAGTGCCTCTACTTTAAAGAGTCCTCTCCTGCTGATGTTCTGGTGTATATCAGTATGTAGTGTCTCTACTTTAAAGAGTCCTCTCCTGCTGATGTTCAGGTGTATATCAGTATGTAGTGTCTCTACTTTAAAGAGTCCTCTCCTGGTGATGTTCAGGTGTATATCAGTATGTAGTGCCTCTACTTTAAAGAGTCCTCTCTGTATTACTCCTGTCTCACATCTCATCAGGTATAGGCACATTGTATCACTCCTGTCTTACATAGGCCGACAGTTCTCTATGTTTTGTGACAATATCGTAGAGAGATATTCACAAGGTTTGAGATTTGAATATATTTAAACATGTGCGTATTCTAACAGAAAGGAAATAGCCCAAACATTACATAACAGGGCAGACATGAGGAGGAAGCCTGGGGACTATTTTAAGAAAAAGCAATTTCAGCAGCGGCGGTCGTGACCTTACATCGAAATACAGCCTCAAACATTTTGGCAGTGTGTTTACCCCCCAAAAAGCTCACAAATACAGTGTGTCTACAGTGCTTCCTCCGACTTCATGACTGATTCATGGGGGAGCGGAGGAGTGGGGGTGTCTTCATTATGCACATAAGCCCATTGAGCTTGTGTTACGTATAACTGCCTGCAGCTCGCCTCATGGATAATTCAACAGCTTACTCACGGGAGAACGAGGAGCGAGACTGCGAACGGATGGAGGGGATAAAGATAGCACGGACAATCCGGGTGAATTCACTCTACCCGGCAACCCGGAGACCCTCTGAGGGCACGCAGCATATGAGTTGGTTTGCTGTTGCATCATGGGTTCCTACAAATCCATTTATTCCTGTTGTTTACGGTGAAGTACAGCTGTGGGGAGTCCAGCTGTGCTGAGGAGGGGAGGCTGGCTCTACTTTTACACACATTTCAGGGTCAAAGGAAGGGAAACTCTCTCTCGTCTCAAGTAGTTTTATTTCTGATTGCTGTTTGAAGTCATGATGGAGAAAGAGTTGCAATTTAAAAAGCAAGATTTTCAGAGGAAATCTAGAACTTTTAAAGTCCCCCCCCCCCCTATATTTTTAGGATTAAAGGTGAGTGTAGAAATAGGCGGGACACAATGACACAATAATCATAATTAAAAAAAATTGAAAAAATATATATTTATGAAAGAATAATAAACTTAGTAATAAAACAAATACAATTATATTACAAAAACTTATAAAGATCATTATAAAAAAAGAAAATTCAACAAAAATGATAATAATTGATCACAATATGGACTCAAACAAATATTTGAGGAAGGGAAATTATGTGAAAATATAATTCTGAATGAAAAATGTTGGAGTAATAATAAATAATCATATTTTTGGAGATGAGCCTCTGAAAAAAATCCAAGCGGTGCAACCCTAGTATGACTTGCAACAAAGAAACAAATCAGCAGAAAATGTGTTTTTTTAAAGCAAATATCTGTATTGATGGCGCTTAATAACCCTGGCAACACACATGTGAGTCTGGTTCTCCCATACAAGCCTATTCCTACACTGATAGTAAACAAACAGAACATCTACCATGTTTGCCTCAAATTCCCAACAGCTTGTGTGCAATGCCCCAAAAATGTCACTTTAATGCTTTCAAATCAAAAACCACCATCAGAAAAATGAAACACAAGCTTTTCAATATGCCTCTTTCACCTTGCTTTGGCTTTTGTTTGTAAATCCAATGAGAATAGAAGTGTTCCCTCTCATTACAGGGTGCACTCAAATCAATCAACTCAAAAATCGGAGGACCGGATTAAATTAGATCCCACGGCTTAGATAAATGTCATGGAGCTGTGCAGCAGCTTCAGAGGCAGACTAACATATATATATAATGTAACGTCTAATAACTTTTTTAAGCTTATGTTCATTGTGGTTTTTAAATGTCACTGTGATGCATTGACTCCCTTATGTGAAGCAATTTTAACCGTGGTGCTACACAAATAAAGAAGCATTGTTTTTCCTCTGAGATCACAGGCTGATGCAAGATGCTTCTCATCCTCTTCCATCAGCAAACAAGATGGTCAGATATTTTAAAAAAAAGTTTTGTGAAGCCGCCATTTTATTATCCTCGCATTAGCATTATTAGCATTAGCATTAGCATTATTAGCATTAGCCCAGCGCAGAAACGCAGAGAGACTAATTTATGGCAACACAAAAGAAAACATGGGAGCGGTGGAGATGAGGAGGTGTCGGCGTTCTGGCGATTTACTCTGAAGGCTTCAGTAGAAGCTGCTGGGAGTCCCAGCAGCTTCTACTGAAGCCAGTCCCCAACTCCGGGGACTTCCGGCCGGGGACTTCGGGTGGCAGTATACGCCGTGAAGTTGTTTGCGGCCTGCCAGTAAACCCAAAGCAGAAGAAGACGAAGTGACGTCAGCGGCTCATTTGCGTAATCTTCCCTCAGGGAAAAGTACTCCGGTGTGAACGCGATTGGTACTAAGTGCCCTGGGGTAATAAGTGCCGGCACTAAGTACGGCAAAGTACTTGGTGTGAAAGCGGCTAATAAATCCTTGACAGCGGTCTGTCTGTACTGGATTAACAACGTGTCACGTGTTCTGAATTGACCAATCAGAATCGAGTATTCAACTAAGCCAATTATTATAGTATATTGTAATACAAATAGTGAAGTACAATGTGCACATTCTTACTTTAACTTCTTATGTTTGCATTAATACTTTTATTTGTATTCTACAATAGAGAACAAGCCACATTCCCCCAGTTTAAATAAAGTATATATTCCTGTTTGAGTGTCGTTCCTCTCTCAGCAGCAGCAGGTACATCTTCCCTCTCAAACATGAAGCCTTTATGAACTGATGCAGGGTTCCCCCCCGCTCAGAGATTAATGTGTGATATACGAGCCAATAAGGGATTAATGATGATGGGAAATTATGGATGAGTTTGGAGGCTGTCGAAGAACATCTGCCTCTTTATGCGCCTCAATAAATGAATACTCTGTACGTCTAAGACATTCATTCTCCCTCACTGCATGCTTTGTTTTTAAACGCTATGTAAATGTACTAATGTGAGAAAATCCATATCACATTTTTAATGAGAACATTTATCACAACACTGTCATGTTGTCCGTTCACACTCAGTCACTCAATGTGGAAACAGAGCTGGAGGAAATTAAAAGTTTAACTCTTTAATACTACATGCATAATGGATTTATGAAGACATAGAGAGGACAAGCAGGACGCCATTTAGCCATGTAGAGAAACCCCCTAAATCCTGCAAGATCACACGTTTCTTGCCTTTCATTTTGTATGAAAAAGGCAAATTAATAGAGAAAAAAGCTACAAGTTGTATAAAGTCTGCAGAGAGATAAGAAGACGTGTTGCTCTCTGCAAGACTTGGTTATTTACAGTCTTTTCATTTCTCTAATGTACAATGACTTGTCTTTTTATGCTGCTGCAACATGTTGATGTTACACATGGAGCTGCTGTGATGCAGGTCACATTTCAGACTCTGACCATTAAAGTATTATCGTATCGTATCTTATCTTATTTATTCCTCTTCCCGCTACTTCTCTCTCTCTCTTACCCTCTTCTCTCTGCTCTAACTCTCTGTCTCTCTCTTACCCTCTTCCCTCTGCTCTAACTCTCTCTCTCTCTCTCTCTTACCCTCTTCTCTCTGCTCTAACTCTCTCTCTCTCTCTCTCTCTCTCTCTCTCTCTTACCCTCTTCCTCTCTGCTCTAACTCTCTCTCTCTCTCTCTTACCCTCTTCTCTCTGCTCTAACTCTGCTCTAACTCTCTCTTCTACCCTATTCTCTCTCTCTTAGCCTCTCTTCTCTCTTCTCTCTCTCTCTCTCTCTCTTACCCTCTTCTCTCCTCTCTCTGCTCTCTCTCTCTCTCTCTCTCTCTCTCTTACCCTCTTCTGGCGGCTCTCGGCGGCGGCCAGCTGAGCCGACATGCGCTCCTGCATCTTCCTGCAGTGCGCCATGACGGCCTCCAGCACGGAGATGGGGCTGGAGCCCAGGGGCCGCCGCTCAGCGTCTCCTCCAGGGACCCCCGACTCAAAGTCCCTCTGCAGAGCCAGGAAGGGGTCCGTCAGGCTGTAGTGACCGTATCGCTCCTGCAGGAACACCTCCTTCCTCTGGGCCTGGAGGAGAGAGGAGGAGAGGACATTTAGATTAAATATATAGATCAAAGACATTCATTTTGACTCAAGTTAGACCCTATTTTGGGGCATACATCATATTTTATTACATAAGACTTAAAACGAAACACAGAACAAAATTTAAAACCTTAACAAAAATTATAAATATATCAATCTTAGAAATAATTTCATTTGGAAATATCAAGTTGCATGCTCTACTTCCTACAGTGCGATATAGTGTGATGTAATGCAATGTAAAGTATTGCATCAGTAATAGATATAGTTTTTTAAATGTACTTTCATTCGTTACATTTACTCTAAAGTACATTTGGACACACACCAAGATTATCTGAGGGTGAGATGAGGAAAAAAATGTAGAAAATGTACATTTTCTGATGAAATACATATTTTAAGCCTCCGGGGCTCGAAAAACCATTATAATACGAGGAAGGAAAGAATAACTCATACCAATTAGGACAAACACGTTTAAATGAGGAATGAGATACAGATATACTTTTTTTTTCAATATCTAAAGTATGTTGCATTGTAATAGGAGCCTGGGACTTAAAGACTATCTGTGTTGTAGCTAATGTGGATATGAGAACAAGAATATTGAATTTTGAATCTTTCCCATCAGTGTGTGAGGACCCTGAAACCCCCACCACTGACCGCTGAGAGCCCGCCTGCCTGACTCCACTGCCTCTCAGCACGCACACACACACATCTCAGCACACACACATCTCAGCACACACACACACATCTCAGGACACACACACACATCTCAGGACACACACACACACACACACACACACACACAGTCACACACACACAGCCACACACACACAGCCACACACACACAGCCACACACACACAGTCACACACACAGTCACACACACACAGCCACACACAGCCACACACACACACAGTCACACACACACACACACACACAGGCACACACACACACACACACACACCACACACACACACACACACACACACACACACACACACCACACACACACAACACACACACACACACACACACACACACACACACACACACACACACACACACACACACACACACACACACACACACACACACACACACACACACCACACACACACACACACACACACACACACACACACACACACACACACACACCACACACACACACACACACACACACACACACACACACACACACACACACACACACACACACACACACACACACACACACACAAAGAGAGGGGAGGCTTGTGTTGAATCAGGATAAAATAGAAACGGTACCTCAGACTGACCGTGGGTTGCAACACAGTCTCACGGCATTTCGTGTTATAGTCACGAAATTAATCTATTGATTCGTGTTCACCAACACGATTTCGCCATTTTTTTCGTGTCACACAGAACGATTTTAAAAGCAATGTAAATAATAACAAATTAGAAGGAAAAAGATATTTAAAAAAATACAGATTTAAGTATTCGGACACAGAACGATTTTAGAAGCAATGTATTTATATTGGTAGTATGTTTCGTGCCTGCACCAAATAATAACAAATTAGAAGGAAAAAAAGATGCCATAAAATACAGATGTCAGTATTCTGAGGCTCTGAGCCCCATTTCTTTTCCTCACTGACGGCAAAAAAACTCAGACATTATACAATTTAAAATAAAAGGGATAGGGTTAGGCTTAGGGTAAGATATTGAGTAAGAACATGTTTTTATGAACCACACAGCTTCTGGTCTTCCAAGACCCGACCGGACAAAAAGACGTGTTGCAGGCACGAAACATACTACCAATAGAAATACATTGCATTTAAAATCGTTCTGTGTGACACAAAAAAAAGGTGAAAATCGTGTTGGTGAACATGAATCAATAGATTCAATTAATTTTGTGACTAATAACACGAAATGCCGTGAGACTGGGTTGTGTATTATAGTTTCCATACTACTCCTCGACAGAGCACTTGCTAAACCCTCAAACAAATGAGATTTAACTAGATATTGCGGACATTAACGGAACTTCCAGGCGTACAAAATGAATCCCTTTTACCTCGTTTTGTTCTGAAAATACCGAAAAGTTAGCACGTGACTGCAACGTAGCTTCATGTTGTCAGCTAGGTCTAATGACTGATGCATTGACATGATTCAACTTGAATTAAATGGGAAAATAAAACAAGTCTGCTTGCAACAACACTCAACGCACACTGACTGACAAAATACAACATACATACACAACTTATTGTTTAGCTAGGGTGGTTAAACTACTGCCATTAGCCCATGTTAGCTAACTTGTTACCATGACCTGACCTGCTACATATTCTAGTTTGCTAATGCACTTGCACATATTCCAGATACTAGTTAACGAATATAGCAAGTGCTTGTTCAAAATAACACAGTTTCAAAGACCATTAACATTCTAGTGTCTGTTTATATATAGGCCAGATATTATTCCAGTCCCACATAAATGAGTGTGGCCTGACTGCAAACTGCCACCATGACTGAAAGCATGTCGCTGCACAGCTGCAGCTCGAATGTTTATCATCCATCTTCCTGCTCTGACTTCCAGGAGAATGTAAACAAAACGACGCTCAGCAGATGAAGCAAGAGAGAAAGAGTTTTACAAACAGCATGTGAACGCAGCATAATGGAGTTTTCCCTTTCCTGTAGTGTGTGATATTTGTGCATGTAAATGGCTAAAAATCCCAAATTTCCGGAACATAGTGACATCACATGCTCCTATCAGCTTGCGCTCCAACACATTGTACATGATAGGATAAGGGGCGGGACATCTCTAAGCGGGTGACCAATTACAACAGAGCCGGCCAGCTAACCAATCAGAGCAGACTGGACTCTGGTTTCAGACAGAGGGTGAAAAGAGGTGCAGACGGTCATTAAAATTAGTCCGTAAAGCCAAATAAATGAATTCATAAAAATTGAATAACAACCATCAGAGTTTGGTCTTGAAGCAGCTTTTATGTTTCACAATGCCAACTGCAGTTTTAGAAGATGTAATCAAACAAGTAATGATTCATATCTATGAGCAGCAGCAGGTTGGAGGAGGAATATTTAAATATTGAAACATAACGTGCAGAGATATTGAAATGAAACGTGGAGGCGAGGAGAAGACAAAGAGCCCAAAGTGTGAGAGACAGCAGAGACAAAGAGGAACGAATGGAGGGAAGGTGTGAGAGACGCTTCGCCAAAGAAGGACATGGAGAGTCAAACCACACACACACACACACACACACACACACACACATACACACACACACACACACAGAGAGAGAGCACTAAAGATTGATGGTGAATCCTAAAAAAAACTGAAGCAGCTCTCCATGCTGATATAAACACTGAACAGAGGGGAAGTGTGTGTGTGTGTGTGTGTGTGTGTGTGTGTGTGTGTGTGTGTGTGTGTGTGTGTGTGTGTGCGTGTGTCTAACCAATCAGTGTCTTTGTTTTTCTGTATTTCAAAATAAGAGTGGTCCAGAGGTACATTTTTGGTTATATTTCAAAATAAGAGCACTCTAGGAATGAATTGTTGTTTATATTACAAAATAAGAGCGGTCCAGCAATGACTTTGTTTCTATATTTCAAAATAAGAGCGGTCCAGCAATGGCTTGTTGTCTTCTTTTACCGTCATTGACACCTAAACAAACTGCTTTTCTGTAACCAGTCTTTTCTGATATACTGTACAGTAAGTAATCCTTTCCCGTCATTCAGCATGTTTCCCTTCCTGTTTGGAGCTATGGAAAGTTCTGTCAATATTTCCTGGTGGTGGGGCTCAGGGTCACGGGTCAGAGAGAAATCCTTTGAGATCTCATCAGCTGTTCCACACTGAGCTCCCATCAGGCCGCATTGATCCCACAGATCCATCGCCTCCCTTAGGGGAAGGCTGCAGCAGTTTGACCAGTGCAGGTTGAGTAGGGGGATACTGATGTTCAATACAGAAGGATAACATCTTATTCGATTCAGTTTCTTTATCATTTCCTTGCGATCATTGTGTCACAGTGTGTAGGATCATAACTTCTTTAACCTACACGATCTTTAACAAATAACTAATGAAACTAACTTTGAAAAGAAAAGCCCAACTCAAGATCAAAATGTTTTATGGACATTTGCCCTGTTTCATTTATTTATTTGGGCAAACGTGCATCTACGCCCTAATTGGGATTCGTTCAATACTGTTATCAAATCAAAATCAAATCAAATTTTATTTATATAGCACATTTTGAAACGATTTGGTCGAGACAAAGTGCTGTACATATAATAAAAATACCCTACAGTAAAGACACTTTACAGCAAATACAACAGCACAGTTTGTGCAGAATATCAGTATGAGAAAACGACACCCTCTGTCCTTAGTAATGGGTTATCCTTGGACTATGATACACCCTGCAACCATTTTTTAAAATTAAAATCAGACTATATTATCTGTAATACTGCTAAAAAAACAGACAAACAAACCAAACAGAAATCCAAACCTCAGTATTGGCAGTATTTTACACTCTTAAAGTCAGTAAAGCCACATAAACAAATGGGGCGAATCCTGCGAGTTAGTGCAGGGCCTAGAGCCTAGACGCCAAACTCAAACTACATGCTGCTTCTAATAAACATATCAAAGAAACACGTGAGTTGTCTGACTGAACTTTTAAAAGGGAAAAACATCAAAACGGCACGAAGCTTCAAAAACATCTGTGATTATTATTTCCTGTGTGGGATGACACCCTACATCTTGAGGGAATAAGCTGTCCTTTTCCCCCCAATTTTGAAACAATGTTGTAACGTTTTATCACATTCACATCTCATATATGATTCAAAGCTTTATTGTCATGTGCACAGTACCTACATTGTAGATATGGAAAACTTAGGTCACAGGCTCCTCCAACAGAGCAACATGAATATATATAGGACATAAAACAAATAAAATAGATTGTAATACTACACAGAAGCTTTCAACATTTCAAACCAAAGGACAGCAGAGCCTGGCACAGTA